CTCTATCCTAGATGAGTCTCGTTGGGCCAGGGAACAGATTGATTGTGGCTCTCTCCTGCTCCCTCCATCCTCTGTCACCTATCATTGACCAGCCTCTCCCCTACGGAATAGAGCAGTTACTGATGACGATGATGATGATGATAATGATGATAATGATGATGATGAGGGCTGGTCTAGTGGTCAATGAAAAGACATAGCAAACTAAACCCTTAAGGCTGTAGAAACTATGTTGACTCTTTCCTCATTTTTTTCCAAAACCCAAACTTTCTCCGGTCGTCTGCTCCTTCAGAGTTCTCATGGAGTGTTTGTGTGCAGGAGTCAGGAGTTCTCATGGCTCTGCGCTTGTTAACGGGAGCCGATAAAGAGTCTGTTTTTAACATAACAGAGGAGCATTAGCAAAGTTGGCAGATGAACTATTGAAAGTGCTGATTTTTTGTGTGTGTGTGTTTTTATGTGTGTGAGTGATTTTGGTTAACGCATACCCTCTTACTGTTTCACTTATTTACTCGATATCCGTTACGCTTTTTACAGGGCCTGTTTGGGTTTTTAATTTGTTTGAGAAAAAGATCTGCCCTTGGGTGTAATTATAATGGTGGACCACATGAGGCTGCGTTGTTGGCCTGTAAACATCCTACCCCTACTGGCTTACACTGCAAGAAGTCAACTCCCATTGACTCAAGGCTGTAATACTATTATGTGTGAAGGCTCTTTCAGTCTGAATTATAGATGACTGCATCCGAGCCAAAACTTTAACCTTACATGTGCATATAGTTAAAAACTTCGTAGCAAACGAGGTAATATATTGCCAAGGCCAGAGTTTGTTTACAGCAACTACATTTGGACTTGAAGGTGTGACATGAAATCTGGCATATCCTTAAATCTTTCCTGGCATTCTCACAGTTAGAGCAGTTACATTATCATTTGAGGAAATTAGGTGTTTGAAGGAGCGCTAATGATATTATAGGTGTTGTTTTGCTCTAAGTGTTTTTCCATATACTCTGGGGTAAAAAAGCAGGGTTGTGGCACACTGTCAAATGCGTCATTCATTACCAAACTCTGGGAACATCCCTTCTTCTGTGTGTATGTGTGTCCGTGACTCTGTGTTGTTTGTGTAGCCTCATATTCACAAATGTAGTTTAATTTAAACCCACCGCCAATAAAAAGTGCCTACTGGTTTACATGCGGCTCGTAACTCTGAGACACAGCCTCAGAAGCTCCAACTGACGTCTTATTGGCGGCTAGCTCTGGGATCTGCACCTGTCCCTGGTACACACACACACAGACACACACACACACACAGATACTGCATGCACATGTACGCAGACATTCCCACTTACTTTGTACGCACAAACGCCACTTCAAAAAGAGCCCAAGTTTAAATGGTTATAAGGTTGTCATGAATTGCTTTGGTTGATTCTTTCGTGTGTAATGAAAGAAGTGCTAATGAATTCAGTGTTCACGACAAACAGGCCAAACCAAAGTTGTTGCTCTGATCTTCCTTTGCCTTCACACAACCAGTTTCATCCTCTTACGCTGATGGTTAATGCCTGTTGTAAGAAGCCTGCTGTTAAGCATCTGTCCTAATAGCGTTTGATTGCTTGCTTATTAACTTGAATCTTGTTAATAGAGAAGATCAGATGAAGGAGCTGTCTATATGTGTCTGCAACTAAACAGAAGCACGGACCACACACAACATCACATGTGCACACACAGAGATATTTACACTCCGCGCGGCGCCTCTCGTCATACGTCATATGACGCACTGTGGGAGCCATTTTCATTCTCCTCCTCCTCACCCTTACACTCTAGAAAGGAAAAGCCGCAGAGTAGCTCATCAATAGTCCAGCCAGCTTTAGCATGGGCAGAGAATATTTGTGCTGGGTGATTTGGGGGTGAGGAGGTAGGCACCCACTCCTGAGCCAACCAAAACTTGCCCCTTGGAGCAGGATGAAAGAAAGTGACCGAGGAGAGGCGTGACTGTTTCCCAGGGGAATTATTTCCAGAGGACGGATTGCCTTCTCGACATTAAAGTGACACTTTCGTCTTTAATCTCAGTCTACTCCCCTTTCCCTGTATGCCTTGTTTTAGCACGCTCACATAATTATATTATTCTGAATGTATTAAGTAGATTTTGGTGTGGCATTATACAGTATAGCCTATATAACTTTTTCTCTCTTGGATGTACCTCCATCCCTCCTCTCCTCTTTCCTATCCATCTCTCTATCCTATATATTCTATCATAGGTGCCCCCACCCCGTATACACGCACACATACACACACCTTGTCTACCCCCCTAGGGGGCGTCCTGTAGTTGTGCAGTGCTAACGATCCAGGACTGTCACTCCCGCTGGGATGGATGAGCCGGTGGACCCGGTGTTCAGGAAGCCTCATTAGGATTCCTCTTTAATCCGTCTCTGACAGGACCAGCTCGAGAACGGGACGTCCCCTCACACACACACACACACACACACATACACACACACACCACACACACACAAAAGAAGTATAGACACTATCATAGACTCATGTCACATATGCAAACACTTTAGTGCACTTTAGTCCTTGCACAATAAACAGACTCACTGATACCCCCGACTCACACACACACACACACAAACACACAAACACACACACGCACGCACGCACGTATTCACACGCACTCATACATACACATTGTTATGCAAATGATGTGTTATTCTTCCAGCACAGAGGATCTTCCATCATCCCGATGTCACTGCTTATAGAAATCCACTACAGATCATAAGAGCTTATTATGGGTGATTAGTTAATTTGAGGGAGGGAGAGTTGGGAGGTAGAGAGAGAAAGATTGTTTTCCTTCTCTGCTGTCAAATCTACATCTCTCTACTTCTTTCTCTCTCTCTCTCTCTCTCTCTCTCTCTCTCTCCTCTTCCTCTCCCTCGTCTTCCCCCCCTCCTCGTTCCTATTTCCTCCTTCTTCCTTCTCTTCTTAGTGAGATATATTGATCAGCACGTTGACTGTGTTATCAATAATCTCCTCTTTAGTCGTCCGCGAACAGTGATCTCCACTAATGAGCCAGCGCAGTTGTCACACTGCTCTTTCTCTCTGTGTGCGTGTGCGTGTGTGTGTGAGTGTGTGAATGAATGAGAGAGAGAGAGAGAGAGAGAGAAGGCTCAGCCTGCAGCATGAAAACAAGAAAATGAAAAGGGAAAAATCAGAAGAGAGCTGATATTATTGGCTGAACTTTCACAACTACCTGTAATTAAACAAAACTCTCGAATAGTTTTTTATCTATTCCTTCTAAGTGTAAAGTTGACATTGTCAAGAGAAGTTCTCGGACTACCTCACCACTGTACTTTATACACTACATGGGTGTTTAAAATGATTTGGTCATGTAGACAATATAGTCTAAACAATCTCTGAGCTTGTCTGCTAATAAATAAAAACTTTAAAAATTATACTAGACTCAAATAGATTACGACAGACATAAAAAAGTTTTTTTTTAAAAAGACGACATGAAGTAACAAGAAAAGAGACAAATCTATGATGTCTATGGTCTGTGGACCATATGTGTGTATGATTGGTGTGTGTGGCGGCCTTATGTTAAGCGTGTGTTCGCTGTGGTCCATCGGCAGCTGCCGCAGCGTGGGCTTTGGGCTTCATTATGTGGCCCTAATGACCTCCTGACAGCTCATCACTGACACACACACACAACATACACATACAGTGTAGTGGCATCATCATATTCTTGACAACAGTACAGCCAATTAAAGAAGGGGGAGGGGAAAAAAAGAGATGTACATTTATGTTTATGGGTCATGAAAATATTCATTAGCTCTCTCCTCTCCTCTCCTCTCCTCTCCTCTCCTCTCCTCTCCTCTCCTCTGCAGTGAAGTCTGATAATGTGGTTTCAGCTGTTTTGTGCCTGGTAATTCCCTATTAATTATTAACACTGACATTATTAGGCTTTCACTATTAAGAGGCCTTTCATTAGAGTTTGACGACACCCTAAAGAGAGATTTGATCTCTCTCTTCCCTCTCTGCCTCCTCGTTCTCTCCTTTGGTCTATCACTTTGTGTACGTGTTCCTGAAAAAGCTGCTTCTCTCTGAATTTCCACAACTTTTGGCCTCTGTAGTACTTTTCAAATAACAGTATGTGATCAAGTGTATATGTGTATACGACCAATTGATTGTGTTAATGTTTGGGGCTCATCACTCGCATTTAAGTGCCATTTCGTGCTGGGTGGAATCCACTCTGAAAAGGGGTTATTTCTGCATTAAGGACCCTGTGGGGGGGTGGGGGGTGGGGGGGTGCATCCTACAACATGGCACGCTCCTTAAGCCATCGGGCATGGGGAGGGACACCTAATTGAACATGATAAAGTGTAAAGTTAATTACCCCTCACGCCTGTCACTGATACCCCCATGAGACGGCCTGGCCTCAGGCACAGCTGTTCGTGTGCGTGTGTGTGTGTTTGTGTGTGTGTGAGAGTGTGAGAGTGAGAGTGAGTGTGAGTGTGTGTGTGTGAGAGACAGCGAGAGTCGGGGTGACAGGACAAAAGGCAAGGGCTCCCACGAGAGTTGTGTAGTGGATGATGGCAACAATCGGCTTTTAAAGATGCCTCTGTCCCTCTGGTGCACCACTACTTAACACGCCTGTCCCACTATGAGTCTCACACTCACATACACACACAGAAAAGTGCACAGCTGACCTTTTAGACACAGTTGGTAGAGTTGAAACAGTCAAGAGGTTGATATATTGTCTTCTTTTGTGTGGCAAATCCATATACTTTATTAGGACAGACCTACTTCTGCTGAGTTACAGTATGATCCATCTGCACTTTGAAATTTAACTCACTGTTCAACCTTAATATAAAGTTGCCGTGTGTTGTAGGCCTACAGACCTGGGTCGGGCTTTTTCGGATACTGGGGATTGATATGTCAATTGTGTGTGCTATGGAGTATGTGTTCACCTCAGTTAACCTCAACCCTGTGTTTGAACATATGTTGTGTGTGTTTAGGTGTCGGGGCTGCCAGCTTGGCCAAACTGACCTTCATGGTAGGTGGAGTAGAGGAGGAATACAACGCTGCACAGGAGCTGCTCACCTGCATGGGTGCCAATGTTGTCTACTGTGGACAGGTTGGCACTGGACAGGTAAAGACATATACAAGCACATACAGACTACATGCCTTCTCTCTTTTTCCTTATTTCACTCATTTCTGTCACTTACATACAAATAACCCCACACATATAAATACACTCACTCATATGCAAATATATAATTAGGTTAATTGGGTTTTTTTTTCATTCAAACATACACACAGACATTATGGGTTATATTTTTATTATGTACATACAATAGTGTAGTAGTAGTGTAGTAATAGTAACATACAAGTGTATGGATTTAATAATTATCCAAATAGAAGAACTCATCAGCAATATACTTGAAACGTATAGAAAGTGTAAAACATGAACATGAATGGACTTTGTCTTCAGTCTCATTTAAATCACATAAAAAACAAAGGTTTTTCTCTTCAAGGAGACCATTAAACCTGCCTGTTCCTATAGATCATCATAATGTAGCTGGACATAACTGTGCACACACACTACTGGTTAAAAGATTCTTCACGTAAGGCTGCAATTAAGGACCTTTTTGCCTTATAGAACAATTTGTCCAACAACAATTTGTATAACCCTAAAGATTTTACCTCACTAATCCTGGGATTAGTCTGTGCAAAATGTCCCAGTTAAAGATCTGTTTAGGCTTATTCACTAGTCGGACCATCTCGCATTTATGTCTGATGTACCTTTATTTTATTACATTATCTGTTTACATGTTGCCTCGCAGACCCCATTCATTTACACATAAAATGCTCTTTCCTCTTTCTGTTCAATCCTCACTAGGCAGCAAAGATCTGCAACAACATGCTGCTGGCCATCGGGATGATTGGGACCGCAGAGACCATGAACCTTGGCATTAGGTATTGTCAGCCATTGCTGTGCTAACATTTTTCCCACCTGTACTGCTAAAGGGAAAAAGCAAGATGGAACAGTGTTGTTAGTGGCTACATTTACGTGGGCATCTTTATTTTTTCTGTAGGAGAGCACAGATAGAAAATCTGACACAGGGTTACCTGTAAGTGGCCTATATAAACCCTGACAATGAATTTTTAACATGGAAATGTAGCCTTAGGTTCACTAGGGTTCATTGGGGTTCATTTTTCTTATTGAAGGATGTGGAGATGTGAACTGAGTCAAAAATGTTTTGCTACATTTGGTTATTAAGAGATGTACCATGAACAGCATGAGCGGCACATGAGAAGCTCCCACATTTTAGCCTTGCATGAATACTACTATGAAGTCGCCCTCAGATATAGCCATCACTATAAAACCAATTACTATACCAGTGATAAGGCTGTAACTGTAGCAGTAATTTACTACTTCAATACAGGTTTAGAAATGTGTGCGTGTGTGTGTGTGTGTGTGTGTGCAGTTTATGGAAGTGCAAAGGGGTCAGTCCAGCCCAGAGTCGGAGCCGCCTGTGCTGGAAAGAGATGGATGAGGGGGCAGAGCCACAGACTCTGATTTACATCTGCTGATTGAGCTCTCACTAGTATCCTGTCACACCCCTGTCACTGAACACCGCCTAGAAATCCCATCATTCAGAATACCTCATCCTTGCACAAAGCCGCATTGGCCAGACGGCTAAGGATGATGGGATATGAAGTCCCCTGAATTAAAGCAGTACACTGAGATAGGGCTCAAAATCATCTAAGGATTCAAAATGACTATGGGAGAATTTAAGATTGAGAAAATAGAGCTCTTGATCAGCGTGATTGCTGCTAAATTTTTAATGAAATCATTTTAGGAAACTATACCTGTTTATGCATATATATTTTTTCCCCTTGACCTTGCATTAAAGTACTGATTTCCTTCAGAATATCTATTTTTTTTGGAAGGGAACTAGTTTTTCTACAGTGGTCCTACACATCAGTTATTCCTCACATGAATGAAATTACCAGCGTCGTCAGATTAGTTTTTCACCTTAGGAGTGTGAATTTATTATCTGCTCTGTTTATACATATCCCTTGTCAATAATAGACTGTTTCCTCTGTTCACCATCTTACTATATGTGTTTTATGGGCTTTGCAACTTAAATGGTGTGTGCACCCATTTTGTGTGTGTGTGTGTGTGGGTGTGGGTGCATGCATGTACGTGCGCCACTCTTCTCACAGTGCAGCTGTGTTAGTGCGGCTGATTTATCTGCGCCGAGACAGAGGAGGAAAATTGGCATGAGCAGTTGCACATAAATCCCCCCACTAGGCTTCTGAAATATGGAGGCATTAAGGGAGCGACACAGATTTACACATTGCCACAGTGTCTCTGATGCACACACACACACTTAGACACACAGATTTAAATCTAGAGACACTGAAGGCAGCAGTTTTCTACCAAACTACAACAACTTCTACTCACAGTGCATATAATTATAATGTATACCTATGAAATAAAATGAGAATAATAACTATAGCATCCCATTCACTTTGAATGTGAATTATTTTTTATATCTTTGCAAGTCTGACCCATATTCAGTCTTCATTGTGTGTGTGTGCGTGTGTGTGTGCGTGTGCGTGTGCGTGTGCGTGTGCGTGTGCGTGTGCGTGTGCGTGTGCGTGTGTGTGTGTGTGTGTTTCCCCGTCTTCTTACCAGCCAATCTCTGGGGCTTTATTAGAGGGTTTGACAAAGACTGTCATCGTTTAAAGAGAGCCCACACCCTTAAATCTCCCATGCTGCATTGCGGCCTCTTATGCAGAGAGGACGTTCTCTTAGGCGTTATGTGTGCTGACACACACGCACAGACACACGATACAGTCCGACACAAAGGAGACTAAGTACTCACAGCCAATTTACAGGAAACCGACAATAACATTTTATCATGCTGGACTTGGGCCTGATAGAGCTGCCCTTTCTTCAAATATGTGTGTGTGTGTGTGTGTGTGTGTGTGTGTGTGTGTCTCCTTACCTGTACATGCAGACAGACACACAAGCACACACTCTCACACACACAGTTCTGTTCGTGGAGCTAATTTGTTGATCTCAGATGGAAGCTCGGGCCGTCTCCAACAGAGCGTGACGTTCTCTTAGTGCAAGGAATGGCCACGCATGACAATTATGAGAGAGCGCGCGCGCGCGCGCGCGCACACACACACACACACACACACTCACACTCCCAAATCCACACACACACAACCTGTCTTTCTGCCTTCTTTTCTTTCCTCCTCTTTCAGCTTTTCCTCTCCGTCCTTATTTGCTTTACCTCATCAATTTACCCTGTTCTTTTAATCCCTTCATCTGCCTCTTTTCTGTCCGCCGTAATTTCTGTATGCAGCCATCCAGTGAGTGAAAGAGGGGGTTGAGGGACTGTAGCAAGAGAGGGGCAGTGGTGATTTTAATGATGCACGTGAAGATGAAAGGAGAGAGACGACTGGCTCAGGAAGGGATATGAGACTTTTACGGTTTACGGTTCACCTTGCACGCCTGTGTACCTGTACTCACTCATGCATGCAAACATGCGGTCATTGATGCACAAGTAGGAACGCACACATTTGCTCCTTTATTCATTTTGTGGGGAGAACGGCAGGCAAATCAAAGGGTGACACAATCCTTTGTGTTGAGAGACAGAAATAGGTTTGCCACAACACACAGGAACACTAACACCTCCTCCTCTCTCTGTAGCTCAAATGAATTGTGAGCATATGTTCCGATGAAGATTAAAGTTGGGTGATAAATGTGCTTGTTGCCTCTATAAATGGGATAGTAAATGCTTGTGTGTGTGTATACGTGCTCGTTAGCTCTTTAATGTAATAATAAATGGGGAACGGGTTGGGCTGCTTCTCTCGTGGCATCAGACCAGGACGAGGAGCTAATCGCAATGAAAAGACAGTTAATATCAGCGCTGCAAATGAACTCCACCTGCTCGAGCTCCCAGCACATAAACACCTAACTACCCTCCCCTCGTATTTTCATCCCCACCTCCATCTCTCTCACATTTCTTTAATCAACAGCGGCATCGAGCAGCAACACGTTTGTTTTACCGTTCGTGTCTGTGTGTTTATCCATGTCAATCTTGTTAAAGCGTGACATGTCCTCTTCTCCACGCAAATTACCACAGGCGAGGAACAACACCACTGCGTCAGCTAATAACCACGGCTGTGTGTATGTGTGAGTGTATGTGTATGTGTATGTATGTGTGTGTGTGTGTGTGTGTGTGTGTGCGTGCGTGCGTGCATGGAGAGCAGGAGGGGAACTTCATTGATTTATCGTTAACAGAGGACAACAGCTCCCCGTCAGCGTCTCTGGTCGCTATAACAAACGATCTGTGCGCTCGGACGCGCTTTATTGTAGCTCAGCCAGTAACCTTTTCAGCTGCTGACCCAGAACGCAGGGAGGGGCTGTCTGTCTGTGTGTGTGTGTGTGTGTGTGTGTGTGAGAGAGAGGAGAGATGGGGGGTTTGTGTGCGATGTCAAACATATGTCCCCCAGAGTCCTCAGACAGGGAGGTGTCAGCGGGGAAGATGGCGGGGGGGGGGGCGGAGGAGAGGAGAAGCAGGATGGCGAAGGGATGCTTATAGACATAAACTAAAAAAGCCATCATGAGCGAGACTGCCATTAAAAAAAAATTGCGAGCTAAAACACATGTTTACACACACATGCATGCATGCAGTGTCACTTATGCCACATTTCCAATAAAGAATTTAAAAAAATGAGGGAGTCTGACACAAAAGAGACTAAGAAAAAGGGAGGAAGGAGACGTGGAGAGAGTGTAAATGCAATTCCCATTCTTAATTAGTCAGTAGACAGCTAATAAAAACTGTGGTAGTAATGGCAGAATGAGAGCCAGGTGGAGGGAGGGAGGCTGCTGGCCTTAAGGACCTATGATGGTTTAATAGTCATATTGAGAGCAGAATAGAGTTACAGGCCTGTAAGTAACAGTGAAGTGAGGCAGCCAGGGCTTGATGTGGTCAGCTTTACACTGGCCCTTAAGCTGTTAATATACAAAAGCTGCACTACACAGGCAGATAGTGGCTCCCTCCCTACTGTAATGCGCGGCACTTTGTTTCACTCCCTGCTTTCTCTCTGTCTCTACTCTCTTTGTCTCATTTGCTTTTTGCTTCTTCATGCCATGGCCTGGAGATTTGTCCTCTTGCATATGAAAGTAGGTTGCTGCAAAATGGGGCAGCAGAAGTTAGAGCGCGCTTCTATATGTGACAGCGAGGTTTATGGCTCCCCAGTGCTGCTTAACCACTTCTCCTCCTCCTCCTCCACTTTCTTTTTTCATGAAAGAGGGGATGATGAAGGATAGATGTGCTGGTAAACATCAATACTGCATTAGCCAGCATTACAAAGCCTTCAGCCATTAACACTGAGGAATGGTCGCAGCCGGGCATAAGGTTCAATGGGGGTCACTACAATCACCAGGCGCCCCCACACCCATCTTTCTCCGTGTTTCTCTTTCGCCCTGTTGTAAAAATGAATTCTATAATCGGCGTTCTTGTTCCTCCCATCCCTGTGTGTCCTATATCCTCACTACTTCTTGCATAATTCCTCTCTCCTTTTTTTTCTTTTACCTCTACCATGTATTCACTTAGCTCATAAAGTAAAATGGAAATATAATTATCTGTTCATCGATTATTAATCTTCTCTTCCCCTTTTTCTAATTTCCCCTTTCACAGAAGAGTCAGTAATATTACTTATGCTTCTCTTTGGGAGACATTTCTACTGCACTTCATACAAGGGGATGTTCTCTCGGCTTTCACCGGCTAATATTGTAAAAAGTTTCCTTCATGTGGTCATTGTAGTGGTCAAGCCTCCAGACACTAGTCTGATCTTCACTCTGATGATTACCCGTGGCAACAATTCCAAAGGAGAAACTGACCTCCATTTTCTTCACCTTCTTATTCCAGACTGGGTTTGGATCCGAAGCTGCTGGCGAAGATCCTCAACATGTCCTCAGGTCGTTGCTGGTCCAGCGACACGTACAACCCAGTCCCCGGGGTCATGGAGGGAGTCCCCTCTGCCAACAACTACCAGGGCGGCTTTGGAACCACACTAATGGCAAAGGTACAAAACCTGCTGCCCTCTGTCTGTGTGTCACGCTGTCGTTTCATCTGCAGCTGTGACTCTTTGTTAGGTCTGCATCATTATGATTTGTTTCATTATCAATGAATCTGTTTTTTGATTATTTTTTGGGTCTATAAACTCAGTAAATAACAAAAAATTACTTTAGAGCCCAAGGTGACATCTTCATATGTCTTCTTTTGCCCAACTAACAGTCCAAGACACAAATGTATTAATTTTACACTGATGTAGAGAAAAGTAACAGATCCTCTGTTGAGAAGTTAGAATCAGCAAATATTTGCCATTTTTACTTGATAAATGACTGAAATTCAATCCTGAAATTCATTAAAATTGCTGCGATTGACTAAATTGAACAACTGACTGATCATTTCAGCTTCTACTCCAACTCTGTTTCTTTCTCTTTTCTTCATGTAGTGTCCTTTTTTCTCCGTCTCTCAACTGTGTCATTTGCTTTGTTTCACTTCTAACTCTTCTTTTGTCTCAGCGTGGTACTATCTGCTCTCCTCTTCACTAGTCCATCTGTGACTCATTGTGTTCCTCTTGATTTTACTGTCACTGCATTAGCTCTTCTGTAATGGTTAGTCTGTGTATTATTTAGTGGATCTGGGTGTCTGTTAAATCACTTACAATGTCTGTTTCTGAAAACGTAGCCTGTGTAGTTCTATCACAGCTTAAGAAATCTGATAATTAGAAATACTTACTTACAATCGCATATCAGCCGTTAGATAAAGACAAAGAGATTATTATGTTGATCCATCTATCTGACACTCTGCCTCTCTTCCCTTCTGTTTCTAGGATCTTGGTTTGGCCCAAACCACTGCCACCAACACTAAGACACCCATCCCTCTGGGTTCCCTCGCCCACCAGATCTTCCGAGTCATGTGCTCCCGCGGCTACGCTAACAAGGACTTCTCATCTGTCTTCCAATTCCTTCGCGAGGAGGAAGGACAGTGAATGTAGGGGGAGCACAGCTGACTGTGATTTTACCATACATACACACACACACACACACACACACACACACACCACAACCACACACCCCAGTGCCCCTTATCCCACTATGCTCAGGAGAGACTAAGGCCTTGCTCTCAGGCACAGACCTGCGGTCCAATTAACATACTGTATGTCGACACGTGTCCCCTCATCGCATTAGCTGAATCATATTTTCAATTCATGGCGCTCCCTCTGCATGCGGGGAAATGCTAAAACTGACCTTAGATCAGTATCTAGAGACAAAGCAACTCTCTTCCCAGTCTGGTCTGAGTGGCCAGAGTGGGGAAAATGAGAGGTAGGATGAAGCGCTGCAGGTTTACATGAAACTCTGCATGTAAGTATGTATTTCAAGATGATTGATGAGTAATAATTTCATAAATGTTAAAAGTTGTATGTTGTTGTCAGGTTTGTGCTTTTTGCCTACTACCCAAATAACCTGGATGTGTCCCTGTTAAATCATAGAGGACAAAAAATTAAGAAAAAAAAAACAAGCAAGATACAATAAAGATTCACATAGTGGTGGAAATGTTTTTGAAGAGGCAGTGCATAACAGGTTTGGGTGATACTTTCGCTGGAGGAAAAAAAAAAGTCCTACATTCTCAGTACTACATTTAAGGTAACCAAAACTGGCAAGACTATAGGCTCAAAGTTTACTCATTTTGTTACATCTCTTTGTTTCTGGCAGGAAGGTGGTGTCAGTCACTTTGGTGCCTCTTGAGACTTCCTGCCAGCGTGCATACTTGTTCATTTCATTGTTCAGTCATCCAGTTATTATTTTTAGCATGTGAATACATTAGAGTTACAGTAGTTTCAGGTCTTTGGTACTACATTTAAGTCTCACTGGATCGACCAGTTCTGTTCTACTATACTTTGAGATAAATATCTGGTTATTTTTGCACTGTGTGCATCGCAGTGCGATGTGCCGGGCTATTTTGATACAATTACAGAATCTCTTTGAAATTACCTCTCTTCTTTACTGTCTACATCTGCTTATTGAGCCACTGGAGTATTATTTTGTGACCAACACTGTTTAAATTTTATACTGTTCACTACAAAATATTGTTCTCTTTGTTTAGCACTTTCTCTTGCCCATTTTTACTTTAATTAAAGTCTGTCCTTGCATATTTCTCCTCTCTCAGTGTGTATGATCCATGTGTAAAATGTCAGTGAGGAAAGGTTCCTCCCTGCCATGAGCAAATGTACATAATGTATATTTCACATTGTTGTGTAGTATTGAAGAGGAATCTTAAAGAAATAATGTTTTTTTTTTTTTTTTTTAGTAAAATCCATTAATAGTGTCTACAGTTTGTCTTTGCTCTGTGAAACAGATCCTCAGTCACACTGTAGCCTAAAATAAAAGATGTTCTGTGTATTAGGTGTTTGTCTTTTTTTATGATAAGTACACTATGTAATTTCCTCTCAGTTGTTTGCTTTATTGACAAAGGTGCACATTGTGAAAATAGAGCTTACAAATGACATTTGTTAGAGATAGTCCAGCTGTGATTAGTTCAGTAAAATACAGCGCTTTTGAGAGAGTGGGCATGCAACCATGTTGAACCTACTGTGTGTCTTTGTGCAAAGTAAACAGGGTATCAGCAAATCAAGATGGCTGATGTGGCCATCTTTATTTTAAAATGAACCCAGATGACAAAACACATGTTTATGCTCCCTACTGACACAAGACTAGCTAGCAGCTCAGTGAAGCTGCACAGCAATGCTTTGAGCTAAACGCTAACATCAACATGCTAACATGGTGATATTTAGCGATGTTTACCACGTTCATCATCTTAGTTTACAAAGTGATTGGAATGCCAACAGTTTTGCAGGTATTTGATCATAAACCTAATTATTGGACAAATTTACTGAATAAAAGGCTGTGGGTGTCACCAAAGTGATTACAATTCATCCTGAGGGGGACATGAACCATGGCAGTCTGTCCAATAGAGATATTTCAGTTTAAACCAAGTGGCGGATCGACATATACCAGCCAATCATAATTTAGCAGCAAATTTCTATTTCGCTCATACAATCACACTGGTCATTTACTGTTACTGGACTTGTGTTTGCAGAAAAATTAACATTTGTTATCTACTCTATTTGTTCTTTCATCCTCTGAGGGGGAGGGGGGGGGCTCCTTGGTTACTCTTCCTTAAGTTTCTCCCATTTTTTCAGATAAAGTTTTATTTGTTAAGTTTTTCCACATTCATATTGGGCTAAACAGTGTCATACCGTTCAAATATCTCTACATCTCACGTCTTCATGGTTTTCTAGTTCCGTGTTTCAGAGACAGTTACAGCTTGAAGTGTGCAAACCAGCCAATGATCCCACCATCCTGCTCTTCAGTGGGTTGTTGTTCCATTGTTTCTCCAAAGCTCTTCAGCAGGCACTCGTAACATTTAACGTCAGTCGGGGAGAAATAGCAGCACTAATCTCAGAATGATGCCCTTATTTCCATCATTACAATGAAATGAGAGGAAAAAAACAAATGCGGTTTTGTTTTATTTTACTCTCTTTTTTCCTGAGGCCTGGTGTTTCTTCGTAACATTTTATAGAGCTGCTGTCGTCTAAGTGGCAGCCGCAGTTGTAGCAGACTGTGGCGAGCCGTTGGTGGCAGGGGTTGTGTCGTGGGCTTGTGACTCACTCTGTTATTGTTCTTTGGGAAGTTATGCACTTGCCTCAGTTGTGTGCTTTTAAAGATTATCTTCATCTGATTATAAAAGAGGGGAAGTACTTATAGGTCCAGTATCTGATCAGAAATCTTATTAAGAATCCATTGTTACCACATACACTATATCTTCCCATGTAATAAGCTTTTTTTAGCAGGATTTGACATCCATTAGCCTCCAACACCATGTTGGCCATTGCAGACAGTCTCTGGTCTTCCTGAGGTCTCCCTTAAGAAGAGCTACGCCTTTGGCCTGGTCTGCTGAATTAGGCTACGTAGCTGATTCATATTTGGGTGTTTTAATTTGCCTGTGTTTTATAGCAGGCTGCTGAGCCGGCGGTTTCCTCATTAAAGGACACATGAAAGCAGGCTGTAAAGGAGCCGTGGTGAGACCGGCCTGCGCTGACGTCTGAAGGGGACGTGAGCGACCGAGGGATCGACCAAGTCCCGAGCCAGCCGGTCTGAGCCGGAGGGCCTCACCCTTTCAGCCAGGCAGCCAGTGGCGGGACACCAGACACACCACATTGACTGTGTCCACACCAGGACACAACACCAGTCTGATGTGTCAGCAGGAGTTCACTGTTTGATGCTTGACTTGTGTTTGTCTTGTGGGATTTGACGAAAAGTCCAGTCTTAGTCAGTCAATACTAAGCTGGAAGATAAATGGAATCATAACTTTTTCAAACATTGTGCATCCCAACTTCTGATAATAGATACGTGGCACCAGCATTAACCTCAGTTAAACTTTCTTGAAATTAAATTTGTACATCATACACAGACGATCAAGCTTCGTATCTTGTTCTGCTGGTGTGTTCTCAGGCTTTGAAGTTAATTGCCCACCTGGTTAACCCCCCCCTCCCCCCGCCATTTTGAGAATAAAACAGCCTCGGCTCCGAGAGTTGCTGCTGTGATAAATACCTGAGGCAACAGCGTTCATTATTTCTCCATTATAACTGCTGGTGGATCCTCTCGGCTGTTTAACGACTCGCTCTTTAAGGAAGTGAGAGCGGTGGGGTCACGCCGCAGGGAGGGGGGGCGAGGCTCCTCCAAGCACCCTGTGATTCATATCAAACGCACGCTAAGTGGCATGTGGCTAAATTAGTGGCTGGAATCTAGCAGGTATAATAGCTCGCTCGGCAGTGCGTAACGAGCCACTGTCTCACTGTGTAGTAATGTGGCCTTGATATCTTTTGCATGAACCCACCAATAATAGTCGGGGCTGTTCAGCCTGTACAGCTCATATCCACACCCACAGCGTCTGCACATCAGCACAACACCCACACAAGTCTTCTTCCTGTTTTGTAGACAACATTCTCCCATCCTGAGTCACTGACTCTGCTTAGGTTCATTAGTGAAGATAATTCCGTTGCAGACAGCGGGTCAGCACATAACATGTCACGATGACAGCCAGGCACATAACAGCAGCTAATTATAACTATGAAATCCTCATTAGAATATCTATGAGGGTGTGGTGAGTTGCTGTGAAACATGGACCCAACTACCTGGTTAAAAGGGTGCATCTCAACAATACAAGTGAGCATCTGAGGGGAAAAGGACCCTGTAAACTCTGCACCTGCTTGTCTGGTTTTCACTCACTTTTACTCTCAACTTTTCCTGTCTTCGCCACCTCTTCTTTTCTCTTTTGTTACTTGCTCCCAGCTGGATGTGTGGTGTTCAAGATGATGTAAATAGTTTAATCAATTTTTCCCCTGATTTTCTAAGACGTTCACACTCCTCTATCCTCCTACATTATATTGATTCATTCATGGTTTCCTTTCCTACACTGCCTCTCTCTTTATACCCTTACATCCTCTTCCACAGTACACCTCTGTCTTCCTGTTACCCCCCACACACCCTCTGTCACCTGTGAGTAACAACAACATGCACACTCTATTCATCAAACGCTGCTGCACATGCTCAGTAGCTCTTCATTATATTAATTACTCTCATTGGAAGAGTGATCATCAGCCCCATCAGAATCCATCACCACCCGGTTCCCACAGAGACACAGGCCCGGTAAATAATCACCGGTGTCTGTAACAGGGCACCGGCCCCCGCCATTCCCATCGGACCCACCGGGGTGGGCCCTAAATATCCAGAGGGGTGCAGCTCCCACTGAGCCACATTCATCTCTGCCAACAGCTGGGGGATGCAGTAGCTGTAGGGCCTTTTTCCAGAGGCTGCTGATGCTGGTTCACACCTGTTGTGGGTGAGAGCAGAGTGGATGGGGTCTCAGTCAGAAGGGAATAACACCTTCTGTTTTACAACAATCCCCCAGAAAGGTGTATGAGGATCCTGATCCAACACAACAGCAGTCCCAGTCCAAGTTTAAAATCTGTATACTGCCCTCTGCTCACTGGAATCATTTTCATATAAGGTAATGGACTGGCACTAAAAACTGAGTCAGGGCCTGGCCGTGAATGAATACATGTAAGTGATATAGCAGAAGTACAGTGTGTTATTAAGGCATGGATGAATAAACTGAGGATCAGTTAAACAGTGGCTCACTTTGGAGTTGTTGAACCAACTCCAAGCACTGGCCCTAGAATCGAAGTATTTATGGATGTCAGCAGACATGTGATAGCTGGTACTTACTCAGCAGTTGTTGTATTGTCTAAAGAGGAAAAAAACAAAATGAATTAACGGTCAAACCAAAGTCTTGATTGATGCTCAGCTATTTTGTCACCCCTTTTATACAGCAATTGGTATAAACAATGAAAGTGAATGAAATTAAATTACTGGAAAGAGTGAATACAAATGTTTTTAGCTAAAGAGATGAAATCTTTGACATCGACGCTGTGTGGTTGCAGATTATTAAAACAT